GTGAAACAGATGTCATGGTTACAATCTGATGACGTAGACAGGACAATGCTCACGTTAAGGTTGGTTCCCTGTCTTTGTTTAAAAATGTGATATTGAATACATGGAATAATTACAATCTTCTTTGATTTTTTTTTTCAATTTTCAAAACAACTTGTGGCTTTTTGAAGGGGAAAATATAGCGCGATAATATCAGAAAAGGGGGAAAACCTGACAACTGAGAAAAGCTTTTCCCCATACATTTTAACAAATTTTTAATTTCAATGTAATTTACAAGCATGGTACTTAGCAAAGCTATATATAAGGATATAGGTTTCAGTCTATCAGATTTATCAACTAGCTGATATAAATCAGCTCAGCTGCTGCTCAGATGAAAAATGTGCACAGGACATTTCAGGGGAAAATATAGCAATTTGGGGGGAGGGGAACATAGGCCAGGGAAACAGCCTTTATTTGGCTGTAAAATGCACGGGAAAAAAACACTGATCTTTGCTTGTTTTTAAACGAATTTCTGTTCTTGCATATCCACTAGCTAAGTGTTAATATAATTCATTTGCGGTAAAATCATTATTAATCATGGAGTGCTTATTTTCGTACTTTTCGTTGAAATGTCAATCCGTGAATATAAGATCCGACGAAATTTTTTAAGTTTAGTTGCGAAAATACTTGTAATTTATTTGAATGATTCTTTAGAAGCTTCTTGGGACTGATAAGTAATGTAGTTCGGACTCTCAACTCCTTAGTTAAGAGGCGTGTATTACCACTTGTCCACCGTTAATAGTGATTTAATAAACAGCTTGAACGATTTATTTTAAACCAATCTTTCTTGTATAAGAAACAACTGAAACAAATATATATATGCCTCCATAGAATATTTAAGTCTACTCGCATTACGATCTGCGCTTGACAAACGCGCTTGACAAGCGGCAATCATTGTTTTAAAGGGAGTTAACTCTCATTGAAAATTATCATTTTCTTTTTCTTTCCAGAGGAGCTTGTCATCAAGCTATTAGCGATTTTCAGTTCATTGTTGGAAAAGCATTTGGAAAATTAATGGAAGTCCGGAGTGATCTGTCTCCAAAAGTGGCAATGGATGTTAACAAAAGAGCTACCCTTGGTTTTCTATCAAAACATCTAGGTACGTTACAACTTACAATAGATTGTTTCATGTATTTAATACAGACAGTATTAAAAATTGACACTGTTATAAACGTTAACTGGCGTTTCGAATACGCAGCATTATTTTAAGGACTATCTTTATTCTTTTGGTTGCTTTGGAGATAGATATACCCGCCTAAATCAGCTTAATTTAGTCAGGGTCTTGTATTTGAATAACTTGCCGTAGTGCTAAATCCAAAATAGGAGTTAACCCGTAATTGAACTAAAGTAACGGACAATGTATCTACACGACAAGTTTACCCAACCCATCATAGTATCATGTACACAAACAGCAGATATATCCGCCGCAAAGCAAGTAAACTACTACCAACATTTTTCTTCTCTGCTTAGTAGCGGCGCTAAGGGGGACAACTGCGTCGGAGATAATGTTTAGTCATTATTGAGTTGTTTCCCTTTGGTAATTTGACGTACTTCGATTAACACTGTTTAATGAAAAGTGTATTTTTGTTTATTTCATTTACAGGATTAGATGGTCTAGACAGTGGTAATGACGTGTTGACAGGAAGTCACAAGGACGTTATCCTGGGAACAACTCTGGATGTGACGTAATTTCCAGAAATCTTTACGTTAGAATCCTGACTGTGATATTTAGATATTTATAAAATGCCATGAGTTACCGTTATGTCTTTCGATATAAATTATCACAATGCATTATTTTTATGACTTCTTTTTATATTGATTACGTTACCGTCCGTTTTTGTAAGAAAAGTGCTTGCACGTTAATTTGTACGTCATTGATTACAGGTGCAATTTTAGTTTAACCACTTCAGAATTGACTGTTTTTTTCTATACATACTTGATGTTATAATAATATAGGTTATATAAGTATAATGGCTGCACAATTATGGAGGTTTGAAAACAACATGTTTACAATTGGTACTGTTGGAAAGGGTAAGTTACCGTTCAGTGTACACGCTTTCTAATGTTACGTTTTTTAGTTAATCTTTGACGGTTTTTAACATTTTTTTTTATTGAAGCAGGAGCCAGAATATGATGCCAGATCTTCGTCGGGCATTTCATTTTTGTTAAATTTGCAAAGTTATGATATAAACTTATTTTTGTTTCTGTGATATATCGCATTCTTCTAAATGTTACACATCTTTATTATAGGTACAGACAGGAATATCAAGCTCTCCGAAAACAGTTACCCTCGAGCTAGATATTTCGGTCTGTACCGGCAGCCTGTGTAAGATCTTATTTTATTCCATGTAGGCTTTTATTTAACAAGTCTTTTAAATGGTTAAAGAAAAATCATGTCATAATTTTTTAGAATAATCGGTTTGCAATATGAAATATACAGACTTTTAAATTAAGTTTAAAGAAATACAAATTATTTTTTAATTTGTCGTTACTTGATTATCAACAAATATGTCAATCTATTTTTATTCCTTTCATATGATGCGATATTTTTGAGGAAGAAGTTTAAATCCAAATTTCAAATTCCAGTGGCATTGAGAGAGTTACATTATTTTTTATTATATATATTATACGTCTCTTCACCAAGGGTATTGTCAATACAAATGTATACCTTATATGTATTTTTCATAGATCCTGTTACACAAATTTCTTATGGTTTTATGTCATAGATATAATGCTCAAATTAAGATTTGTCAATATTGTAAGTTTCAAAAAGCATTATTTATAAAGATATTACCGAATTAAACATTTCATGTAAATAAAGGGAGCTAATTAGAAATTCATTTTCTATAATTTTTCAATAAGAAATGAATGCATATATTTTAATGATTACATATAATGTGCACAAATGTTTACAGTACATATTTTACATATTCTCCGATGCTTGAAAATTGTTTTATAAGCATAATTATATACATATATATATATATAATTTCACTTAAGTGTGGTATACAACCTCAATTACAACATACAGGATCTTTAAACTTTTGATGCAATCTCATTTTGATAGTATTTAATTTGATTTGTTTCATTTTTTGACTTCTGAAGATGATTTTTATTTATGTATTTAAAGGCACTTTATGCTCAGAAATCCATATTTTTTAAATTTGTTTTTAGAAATGTCAATGTTTAATAAATAATGGATTTAGAGCATAATAAACGTTGAACACGCTGAATGTGCACTAATCTGTCATAAAGGTTGCAAAATGTAAACAAAGTATTATTTTTACTTCCATACAAAATGCTCATTGGCGACAGAGCCAAAGAAGTAAAATATAGTTCAGCTCTGTGGCGAATAAGATATTTTTATTTATATCAAGGTACCAAAAATGAAAAAGTTTTGAGAAATAGAAATGATAGCATTTCTGAGGGCACAATGGGCCTTTCAAACATGAGAAATCAACATTATTTTAATTTTAGTCAGCAAATTGGCATTATATATGGTACAATTCCTTTGGGCATTTTAACAATTAAATAGTGATGAATATACTATCAAAATAACTGTCCTAACCTAGTTAAAATGGATTAGTCTGCAATGAGTACATTTTCAAAACGTTGTTTTTCAAATATTGATAAAAACAATAAAAATATATAATTTGAAAGTTCATGAAAGAAAAAATGTTGATCTGGTGATTTTGTATAAACATTTATATGATGAATAACAATATTTGTTATAGAACACTTTATTATCTGCTATAAATACGTAATAATGGCTCATATATCTGGCACTTACCAGCAACATCCATATATAAGTATTTAGTTTCTTTGTGTCTCATCTCTATCAACATAATCTTTTGTGGCATCGCATACCTTCCATTATCGACCAATTCACCTAATAACAAAAAAATTTGAAACACCTCTTAACGTTATTTTAGAAATGACATCAAAGACGTTAACAAATAAAAAAGAAATCACTTTGAAATATTGAAAATAATTTTGAATAGGTAATAATAAGTAAATTGTTAAAGTTTGTATTTATTTATTTACCATTTATAATTAATTTCTTTAAGAATTTAATATGCCAATAAGGAAACAAGTATGTGACTTTAATGGCTGTTTCCACATGCTAGCGGCCTTTAATGGTTAGACTGAATCATATATGAGAATATATAGAAGCTAGCCATTCTAAATAGACAATATCACAGGGGCATTACAATAATTGTCATTATATTACACAAATAGTAAAATAACTGTTTGTTATCATTCCGAAATGAGTGGAAAATCTTGGTTCCTGTCAGATTTATTCATGTAAACTTCTTTTTCTTCTTGCTTACAATGGACTTGATTGGCGATTTCTGTTTTTTTGTATGAACATTGTCAGAAAATGTTATTTTTCCATTTAAATTATTATTATATATATTATTTTTTAATATCAATTATACAATACATACTTTTCCATGTTACACCTTAAATGCTATATGATATTAATATAAAACTTAAGTGTTTGAATGATAATATTTTATTACATGCTTTTCGGTGGTTTATAGAAATATATCAGTGATATAAAACTGGTAATTTCACTGTTTGAAACAGTGAAATTACCACTTTGATAATTTCACTGTTTTGAATTTAAGCCCCTTACCTTGTTTCAGTGAAATACAAGCGTGCACAGTACTGGGTACCAACTTAATGACGTGACGTCGTAAATGACGTCACGTTGTATTATTATTTGGCGCGTTTTTCATTCAGTATTAGGTTTAATGTCTTTTTAAAACGTTTCTTTGCATATAATAAAAAGAAAATTTGTTTAGTTTAGTGTAAGATCGAAATATATTTCACCTTGTGAACACCAAAAGTTCATATTTCACTCGTGGCTGCGCCACTCGTGAAATATACCTTTTGGTGCTCACTCGGTGAAATATATTCCGATCTTACACTGAACTAAACAAATATCCTCTATGTAATTGACTAAATGCTATTTATATAAAGAATTTTTATATTTTTCAAAACAAGAACAAGATTTGTATACAATATTTGTCTCAAAAGAGAATATTTATTAGTAAAAACATATTTCACAATCTTTCAAACATTTACATCATTCATGTTAGAACAGATGATTGTCAAATTTTATTATCAAATAAATTATTTTTGTTATAAGAAATAAAGAATTTTGAATTTCTAATCTAGGCCCATGGCAAAATATGTAGTCGTGTCCCATGGGAAAATATATCATGTAATGCCAAAAAAAGAGCATGTACACAAAATTTGTTATAAGATGTTAGCCAAATTGGCCATGACATAAAATAAAACAGGTAAATATGTTTTAAATCAGATAAAATGTGTGTGTATCTACATGGCAAGCAAAAAGGAACCGGTGGTTTTGTTATTTTATATACAGTTTTATTTAATTTTTCACATTTCACAATGACACAATGTACCTGATTTTAATATATTAGATATTCAAACTTCTATTTCTATACTACTGTGTTCATTTTCTGTGTTGACTTTGTGTTATTTTCTGTTATTCCTTTGAAATTCTTGTTGTCTGTTTTAATATTACAAACAATTTGTCTTTGCAAACCTATCTTGTTTGATTACATATTTGTTATTTAATTTACTATTATGCTTTCGTATTCAAACTAGTGCTCACTTTATCATACAAGACTGATATTGTATTGTTATTTATCATACGTTAATGCATAATTACTTTACAATAAACATAAATTCACGTTTGTTATGAAAATGTATGCTTTCAGATGAAATTTATATTGCTAAAATAAAATTGAAAATATGAGCATTTTTTTCCTTATTTTTCCTCTGATGACATCACTAGTTTCTGAAGGTTAACAAAAAGTAAATGAACGAAGAATGTTTTAAGTTGCAATATTCCGACTTAAATTGGATCGATTTCCGAAAAGAGGTCAATTGCAGGAAAAATGTAGTCCACTTTAAGTAAAAAAGGGCAATTGCAGAAACAAGTAGTCCTCATTTAGTATTGAGATAAATTGTATGAAAAAGTAGTGCACATTTAGAATTGAGGGCAATTGCAAGTAAAAATTGTATATAGTTTTAAGTGACCCCTCGGAGCATTAATCACAACAAAGTTACATACGAATTACAGACTCGGTTTGATTGAGTCTGTACATGAGGGATAATGAATAAGTGCAACATCCCTCACGCCCCCTAGCACCGACTGAGCGGTACTCAATTCTCAACACTTAATAGTGCTGGTATCAATGATCCCGAAGGACCAGAAAAATATAAAAACACTGAAGCGAATGAATGCTCACATTTAAGCCTACAATTTTGAGGAGTTATTAAGTTTCTATTGTTGTTGATGAACCTCATTCTTTTAAAGTATTAACTTTATGGCACCTGCTAAATATTTTTCTGTTCTGTCCAACATGTCAAAGTTTTTATATTTTCTGTGGAAATTGAATTTTACCGCTTTAGTCAATGCAAGATTTTCTCGTAGACAGACCCCACTTGACGAAATTTGGGTCTTTACCTTTTAAAATTTTGTTTTCAAAGAATGCTCACATTTAAGCGGCGTCAATGCAAAGAAATTGTAATACGAATAGAAAGAAAAATGAAAGAGAAACACGTTTGAGTACTTTCTATCTTATCTTTGCATTCAATAAATATATATTGGCCGAAAATAAGTTTTTGCATTTTGAGAGTAATCTAAAATATAGCTTAGAATAACGGCGAACGAACACATATATGTTGATAGAAAAGAAGTTCTTTGGCTATAGTTTCCATTTAGGACGCAAAACAGCGTATGCAAGTAATAATGTAAAAACATCTTGGCAAAATCTTCAAGAAAAAAAACCCAACAAACCAACGGTACATGAATAGATACAAATTCTAAATAGACGATAAATATCATTCTTAAGTTGTATAGTTTGCCTTTTACAGGCAGTAAAATTATAAACGAAACAAGGGTTTATTTTTATGAGCCAAAACGAAAACACAAAATAAAGAAAAAAAAGTATATGGCTAGCATAGTCTGGCACACAAAAATGACCATCGGTAATACTGAAGGTGTTGTGTACCATTTTCTTTACAGCTAAGTCTCCCTCCATTTAGCTTGCTAGTTCTATTAACGCCAACTTTTACAAGATGGAAAAGTACTTCGAAAAGTTAACAACAAAACAGCAAAAGCAACAACAATACTAGTAATAAGAACAACAAATATGACAGAAAAGTAAGAAAGAAACAAGTCTTATATACACAGATGCATTGGTGTAAAGACCAATAGTACAGGTACTCTTAGTCTCCATTGTAAACTCCAACTTGTGATCTTCATCGTATATACATAAATTTTTTAGTGCATTCGTTCGGTTTTATAAATAAATGTCAAAATGAAATTCGCACAAATTTGATTAGAAAAATATCTTTTGAATTAAAAATACGCTCAAAACCATTGAACCATTTTTGTGACATTAGAAAAATCGGGTATAAATTAATTATTTATTATCCCTGGCTTTATGCTTACAACTCTTCACTTTAATTTTGTAATTAAGTATGGCAACGAAGAAGATCACAAATGAAAAGATAAATATGTACAAGCAAGTAATTTGGATTTTTTCTCAAAACTACAAGATTTTTTTAAAAAAAAAAAAGGCGATGAAAAATGGTCTTAAAGGTTTTTCTGAAAGGTAGGTCAAGCTTAAAATTTATCAAAGTTTAATTTAGCACCTCAACTCCTCATTTAAAGGTAAAAATACCATTTTTCACGTGAGTTTTCCAAATAGAAGGTTTTCGGAGAAATCCGTAACGTTTTCGATGAACTCCGTGGCAGTTATCATAAGAACTCCAATCAAGTTATCTTTAGAACTCCATCCGGCTTGTAAAAATTCCTCCCCGTGTTAAAGTGTGAAGCTTAAAATTACGATCGTGCCTGAAATATTAGGCAAAGGGGGGACTTAAAGTCTTTCTACATCTCTGCTTCGTTGGTACGACGGGGTTGGCTCTATTATAAATAATTATAGCAGTATCATATTTGAAATGTCCTTGAAACTTGATTTTTGGAGAAATTCTATTAAACTCGTCTTATTTTTTGTGATGGCATGTTTTTAATTGCATTACAATTTATTTATTTTTGTCTTGTCATTTGAATATTTGCAGTACAAACTGGATTCGAAAAGATTATAATTATGACAAAATAAAAAAAAGCATTCTTACTCATAAATTTGTAATAGTTCTTTCTTCATTAATTAAAATGAAGGACATGTTGTTTCAATTATTGATAAAATGTGAAGGACACCAGAAGGGAAATGAACATCAAATAAATTGAAAAGTCATAGTATGTTTCTGGTCAAATACAAGCTGCATTAAAGTACATTGTTACTGGTGACGAAACGTTGGGTTACTATTTAGAACCAGTCAGAAGATTGGAAACAAAATATTGTTTACCAAAACCGGCAGAAGGCCTGCAGCACAAGCAATTGTCATTTATTGCATATTCTTCTCCTGTGATGGTATTGATGCACAAAGTCCGTTGCGAAGGACATAGTGTTATAAGTCGGTATTACTGAGATGTTAAACTAAAAAGCTCAAGGAATGTTATCAGATAAGACGCTTAGGCATGTTCGTCTGCTTCGTGATATTGCTCCATTGTATACATCAAAGTTTGTGAAGCAATTCTTGAAGCCAAAAAGGATTTACGTCTTTTTCTTTTGCCGCACACCAAACTTTTCAGATGTAGCCCCATGCGAATTTTCCCCTATCCTAACAGTTGAAAAGGTAATACTGGTCATCGATACAGGTTCCTACAGACCCTTGGCTTGACCATCCGTCCGTGCCTCAGAGGTCTAGCCAAACCAGCATAACGTGTTGCTTTTTATGAGGATTATAAGATTATAATGTGTATTTAAAGCCGCGGATAATATTTTATGGGCTGTAATGTTCAGTCGAATTATTTTGTGATAATGTATAAAACACATTACATATCGAACAACCGTCGTAATAAAGGATTACATCAAAATCTAAAAAAATATAACAAATAATACTTTCGTGATACCAGGCGCTGGTTGTACATAATGAGAACTTTTGTCGAATATAACGGGAATGTATTATTAATGTACATAATGTATATGAATGTTCTACACTATGTAATCTGAATAGTGCTATTTTGCCAAGTGATTATATTTTTAATCATATAACAGTAACGTCACTTTTTGTTGTCACGTTTTTAGTACTTCAGTAATCATGTATCATTAAAATGTATCCTGATAGACTGAAACAGGTCGGTTCTTGAATAAACCAGTTCACAAACCATCCTGATGTTTGACGTGCTCTCCTCCTGTTTTACATTCTGCTCAAGTGCTATACGTGGCTGGTTTGGCGATCACTGTTATTGTGAGAAAAAAAGAAACATAATTATTCTTTTACAGTCAGATCATTTATGTAAGAAAGAGACAATATTTTGTTATCAAGAATTTAGAATAAGACAAACAAACATAAAGTCTTGTTATGATAATTCTATATTCGATAAAAAAACCCATATTTCAATAATAATTATTTATCTCAAATGCTTTATATTGCTTGTTGTGATATTCAGAAAGCAGAAACAGACAATAACAACGTTAAGTAATTAAATGTAAAATTTGAATGTCTGGAAAAATGGAGGGCATATAAAAATGTTGGAAGAAATAAAGCAATATTAGAATCTTATATCATTATGCAATAAAATCTTGAATTTAACTTTTATTTCAATAAAAAAAAACCACAATAGGATATGTATAATCGAATAAAATGTATACCCAAGGTACAGTTTGCTTGTGCAAAATTAGAAGTAACGATTGTGTCATAAGACATACTGTTTTTTATTTGTTTCTCGTAAAAAAATTAAATTTCAATTGTATAGATAATGTTATGTAGAGATTAAGGATTTTCATTTACAGTTGAAAAGATAAGAAATGTTTAGTGCTCTTTTGCCAATTTAAGAAACAATTACACAAAT